GGGGGAAGGACAACTAAATAAATCAAACACCCTGCTGTAAAAACAGATAAGATTTTTCTGTTTAGACTTGTGATACATTCTCAACCATCTTCTACTTACACAATAAATAAATGCTTCTTTAATTTTATTTTAAAATTTTAAGAATGTGATTCTGTATCTAATCTTAAAATTGGTTATCTTGATTTTTTTCCTATTTTTTTGATCTCATGGGAAATAAGTGTTAACATTCATTAGTGTGACATTTTATCTATGTTTTTCTGACAGTTTGGAATAGGACAATTTAAAATTTGTTTAAAAAAGAAAAATCTAAGTTAAGCAGTTTGGCAATGTTTCTCCAAGTAGGGGCTAGAAGAAGAAAGGCAGTCTTTAAAAAAACCCAAAAAACTCCTATGTACCTTCTGTGTTTCAGATGCCCAGACTGTCACAGTCGTATGTATGTGAGCAAGGAATCCTCGCAACAAAGATTTCTGCAAAGGCAGTTTTAGACAGCTGAAGTTTTTGGGTATTTTGTGGATAAGAAGTTCTTCATAGTTGTAGTATTGTCTGGTAGATTTTGTAGACAAACTGCTCTATGGATTTGAGTCAGCCATAATTTACAGATCTCTGCACTGGATTCTCCTTATAACTTTAGAAACCAAGTCAAGATGCAGAAGAGAAGAGGATTCTGGATTTGGCGGGCAGGGAACAGGACCCTGATGGGCTTCAGCCAAACACAGATATAATTACAGGGCACCAAATATTTTAAGCATGGGCAAATCGTGTATAATCACAGGTCATCATACAGTTCCTTTCATTAATACAGTTAGATCAGCCTCTGTTACCCATTCCTTAGCCTACTGAAGAGTTTTTCAGGACTTTATTAATCTGATGTTAAAAAAAATTCTTTCACAGATATTTCTGAGTTAGATTTTAAATGTGTATCAACTTCTAAACAAAATGGATCTTTACGCATCTGGAACACTGGTTTGCTCTCTAGTGGTACATTTTTCTCATCTCAGCTGTCTGCCTTTATGTAGAAATAAAAAGGGGGAAATAAAAAAAGGAATGTCTTTCAATATTAATTGAAATTATGAAAATTCTTAATCTGTTCTACTGTAGCATGAAGGACTGCTAGCCAGTAATCTAGATGAGAGATAGCTGGGAAGCCCTGTAGCAGTATACCAAATACCATTATCACCGTCTTCCCGCCAATACCGATGCAAAAGGAATGCTACAATAATCAACTAGATTTAGAAAAAATAAAATTAAGTAGCAGTATTATATTCTTATTTAACCAATTTAAATTAATCTTTTATGTATCGTTAGCAATTTTCCTTAACATCTAATTATTCTTAATTTAGTTGTAAAGTGAATGCTATATTTATAAAATAAAAATGTATTGAGAAAAAAAAACCCACCAAAACAATTCTTTGATTTTGCTAGCTTTGATTAGAGAATATTTTTTCCTTAGATGAGAAAGGAGATGAAGGAAGATGAAATGTGGATGTGTCTGAGCAAAAGCGTAACTAGAAAGAACTAAGTTTGTGGTTTTCCCGCTTTGTATTTAGTAGTGCTACAGAATGCTTGGGCTGGTAATGCTTTGCTTGAAAAGTAGGTTAAAAGTCATGTGTTTGAAATGATTATCTACTTAGTCTGGTGACTCCCCATAATGTGCCTGCGTGCCTGTCGGAACGTTTAGCCGAGGAAGAAATACAGCTCGTCACATTACATTTTTCCATAAATCTTTTATGAAGTAAGAGAGTGGTTTTTTTCTAGGGTAAAAGATTTATCAGTTCAATACTGTGCTGCTGTTGCGCCCTTAAAGTTTTAAATTACATCTAATTAAGCATTAATTCAAGACTTGATCTGAAGTTGAGTGGGTTTTATGAAAATGGTCTTTCATAGAAACATCCTCCCTGTCTGCGCACCCTAAGTTTTCATTATCTTAGTACCAGGTGAATCTAGAGAAGCTTCCATGTTCCCTTGCCTTTAGAAATGTGGAATATGTTTTAATTTCATTTTTCCTAATGTTGTCAGGGTTCACAATTTGTCAGATAGCCAGAATCTGTTGCCTTTATGCCTAGAATTCATAATTGCTCTTTAGAACAGTTGATACAATAAACTCCTGTTGATTATATGTTTAGTGGTATATAACCACTAAACTATAATTTAAAAATTCTTCTTGCATTTTTGGGGGCAGGGGAAGGGAACTGTAATTAATGTAAAAGATCTCCCTGTCAGCGTTATAATGGATGGAAGTAAATGAACGTGTGTGCGACGTGACTGTTGAGTTACTGGGTTTCTCTATTAATTTGTGAATCACAACTTTAACCTAGAAAGGAGATGCACACCAGACTAAGCATGTACATTGTGCATGAATTTGGTACTGTTTCGGTAAGAATTAATGTACAAAGCCAAGTATATGTCCATATGTGTATATATACTGCTGTGCCAATTGTTTTTACTTCGGTATGAAAATATTATGCATCTCTCTTAATTAAAACAGCCTGGTTAATACAAACATAAGCACTCTGTTTTTAAACCATTTTTACTTGAATGCTGGATTGGTTTTTAGATAGGAGGCTGTCCTCAGGTCAGGAAGTTCCTGAGCTGCAGATCGCTGGAGATGGGGGGAATGCACTGGAGGAACGGCCTCGCTAAGCTTGCCCTCTGTTCGGCAGGGGGGGCCTTCCCACCGAGACAGGGTACTGAGCTCTAAGCTGTAGAGGAACCTTTTGGCTGATTCAGTATAGCGATACTTACACTTTCTTTCTTTTTTTTTTCAATCTTGCTTAAACAAGGGATAGCATAGCATGAATGGATACCACCTAACTTTTATGTCCTGGAGATCACAGTGGCAGTTTTACAGGAACCCCAAAATCTCATTTAGTTTGTGTGTGAAAAAAGCATCAAAATATTTTATACCATTTATGTCTTCTGTGTTATACATATAAAAAATGGCATGGGCTTTTTTGTCTATGTATTAATGAAAGCAGAGCACCAAGGTGCTTGTGCACACCCCCCACCCTATATATGTGTCCTATATATGCTAGCTACTAGGAAGAAAATTAACTCTATCCCAACCGAAACCAGGACAATATGTTATCTTTAGGGGGTGTGTGCGAGAAGTGCTTTAGCATAGATTGACACAGAACTTGAGTGTGATTGAGCAGCTTCCAAGAGACACACACCCTGTGTTCGGGGCACAAGCCTGAAAGGCCAGGTCTGACTTTATGGGTGGAAGGGCAGTGGGGCAATGGGAAAGGCTCTAACGTAGATACCTTCACCTGCAGGTCAGGTTAGGAAGTAGCTCTTTATTTACCCAACAGCTGTCAGGGCAGCTGATAGCCAGCTACTGGACCTTTTCAGAGTGACCTTTTCAATTTGGTGCTAGAACTGAGGAGAGCATTTATATAATAAAACGCAGGTCTTGGTGTCGAGGCAAAAATGATTAAATGGTTCACAGATGATGACTGCTGCCTGACAGCTGATGTCTTCAGCTGCCACCATGTGGCTCTGACCATGGCACACAGGGCTGTGTAGACAGGACTGAACAGGATAGGACTGTTGTTACGTATTTTGTTTTAATAGAGAGTCATTTAGGCTAGTTAAAACAACAAATACTTTAGAAGGAACCTGTTTAGTTTCCTACTAGAACAATTATGCTGTAGGGCAGTGGTCTCCAAACTTTTTTGATCATGCACACCATCAATAAAATTCCCACCTGCGGTTTATTGTAACTGAACACTTTTCATAATTAAAGGCATTTATGAAGTTGTCTTTTTAAGTACTTCTAATAACATTGTTTTAAATGCTTTTATTTGGATACATGTGTTTGCTTAAAGAAACCATGCATTCTGAATTGAGGTTGCGAAATAAAGCTCATTAACTCGCAGGATTCCTGGCATTTAAAGAGCATTTCTATCGGGTTTCTTCCATGTAATAGGAAAGTGGTGTTGGATTTTTTTTTTTAAATAAAGTGAAATGATGACTAGTAGCATGATAGAATAGAAGGCAGATTTTTCATGTTGTCATAGGGAAAGGGAAGTAATTTTTCTCGTATTCCTAATTAAGATAATATAGTGATTTTTGCTTAGAAGAATGTCTGGTCAGAGGAACAAATGAAATACAAATTTAGTGGGTGCTGTGTGGGTGGAGAGAATTACATGCAAAAATTGGAACGAACGGACTTTCTGTCACTTGAAAACTTAATCAGTTCATGAATTTGTCAAAGAATGTGAGGAATTTTAGAAATGAAAGTATTTAGTAACATCTTTAGTTTTGGCCATGAGTAATAATGAAATATTTGTGATTGAATCGTAAGCGCTGGCAAGGAGGTTATAACAACTTGCACAACATCATGAACAACTGAAAGTTTATCTGTATTGTACCCTTTTCTTTTTTTCAACGAGAAACTTAGTGGTTCATAAGGTTGTGAGGTTTTTGAGAAATCTGAACTAGTGTTCTTGTGGAGAAATTCCTTTAGATTACAAATTCACTGGGTCAGGCCAGAGACAATTTTATAGATAATTTTAGCTGTAACATTAGCAGAAATTCTGTAAGAAATTGAATCATATGAATATGAGTAGGACAACCAAACATCCTTTTGTGAAATATATTTTTTTTCTGTATTTGAAGTATGGCTGATTGTAAGTCAACTAACACTTTGATGTGAGAGGATCCAGTTCTATAACCACTTCACTATCTAAAATGTGAAACGGGGAGCATTTAATGTGAAACATTGTTCTGTTAAACTGCTGTCTCGGAGAACTTTATTTTAGGTACACTGGTGCATGACTTCCCAGGTGGGTTTTAACAAGCTCAACTACATCTAGAAGCTTTTAGGGAGTTCAGGCAACCATTGAAACGCGTTCCTGTTAGTTAACTTCACTACCAGTTTCAAATAATGCATTAATTTTCTTTTCTAAAGTTCTGAGAAATGTTAACTATTTCGAAGAATGCATACATTTTTAGTTTGAGGTTTATTTCTGCTCATTAATCGAAGTGTTTCTGTTTTCAAGGGAACAAAAGAAATTGAAGGTGAAGAGGAGTCTGGTTTAATTCCACCTGCAGAAGTATTTGCTCCTAAAAGTCTGGTGTTGGTATCCAGACTAGATTATCCAGAAATTTTCAGGGTAAAGAACTTGCTATTACCATTTATAATATAAGTCAAGAGACAAAACTGTTTTTAATGAGTAGCAGTGACAGTACTTTTGATGTAAAACTCTCAGGATTGATTTAGAAATTTAAAAGCAAAAGTAGGCTTAGATTGAACTAGATAAAATTCAATGTCTATGACAGTAAATAAGCCCCTATAGGTTGAGGCAGTGCAGTTTTTTACTCTCCAAGCAGTTTTAAATCTACATAGAAGATGAAATAGAGATTTGTCTGGGCTCAATTTACTGTATAATGAAGGGAATTATTAGGACAAAACCAGACTTGCTCAGGTAAAAACAACATGTAACAATATTTGATTAAATATATAAAGGTAAATTAGTAGCGAATCCTAATTTTCCTCCATATGTAAGGCAAGATGTCAGAGCGTCTTCTAAATCAAATTAAGATGTATGACAGAGATTTAGGATCTTGGATTACTCTCAGCTGGTGAAATATGGTTGATCTGAGATAAATGAAAAGCTTAAATTTTTTGTAAGCTAATACATATTAAGAGAAAGAAAGATAGTTCAGTTTACAGATCAAGGGAGGAAATCATTCAACAGTTAAGTTGTCATTTGACATTAAGACTGACTGTACCGAGTGAGATGAAAAGTCTACATAGCCTAGTATTTTGTCTCTGATAGTGGCCTGTAGTGAATGCAAGGCAAAGCGTGCAAGAATAGGGCAGGCTGTACAAATAATTCCACACAATACTTTCCTAATTCAGTGTGAATTATAGTTAAATGACATCCTGAACCAGAGGTGTCAGTTGTGTGGGTTTTTTCATAGAATTTGTCAAGTTTCTTAACAATCAGATTTTACAGCAACCCGTGACAAGGAGTTTCACAGCTTAACTATGTGTTATATGAAAAGTTACTGTTGGAATTATTTCTAAGAAGAGAATTCCTAAAATATTTGCTGAATTATCAAAGTTACAGCAGTTAAAAGGCACCAAAACAATGCTGTGGAACAAAGTTATTTATTTCCTTTTTTCCAAAGGCTTCTTAGAACATGATGTTAGTTACATTAAATTATTAGTAAAAATGATAAAGCTCTAACTGTGACTTCTCAATCAAAACTGAATCCATACAAAAAAAAATGGAAATGCTGAAGTGTTAATATACTGTTCACTTAAAAATATATTCATATTTTATATGAATATAATAATATATAATTATAATATAT